CCAAAAAAAAGGGAAACATTATAGTCGGGCTAGGCCGGCTATTAAATACACTACAGTACACTGTCTAACACAATTCTTACCTTTGCTGTAGCTCACATAAATTATACCTTGTTTTTATATGAATTTACTTTGTACAGCTAATTTTTTTTTATCTTGAATTATTATTATGATCTGATTTTCATTATGGAATATTAACAGTTATGTCTTCTTGTCATATGTTCTTTAGTTTTCGTTATATGGTAGGGGATTCAAGAAATCGGCCCAGCTGGCCCAGCGCCTTCACAACATTTTAGATTACCGAAATACTATTACTTGGCGACGTTGGTCAAGAAATTTTGAAAAAGGCAATTTTTTTCAATAGTGAAGCAGTGGCTGGATCCAAAATATTTTCAATAGCATTCTTCCAAAACACGTCAGCATATCAAATGCCATCAGTATATAGCAAAAAATGGCAATCTGTAGTTTGGACAAAAATTTACATGGGCAGACTTCGGATGGACAGACAAACTTAAATCGATTCGGAAAATGATTCTGAAATAAAGAGTAAGTCTGTCGTAACAAAGTTAATATACACTACTGTGCTACAAGTTGTGTAAGGTATAATTAACAGTAGGCAATTTGGATTACTTAGGTCTCTTTGTTAAGCCCTAACATATATAGGAGATATCGTAAAGAACAAGCACTTATGGAGTATAATTTCTAATTTTCTATGACGGGAACTGAAAAGCAGTAAAATTGCGGCGAAGTAAGTTAAGTAATTAAATAATTAAATACATTGAACTTTCTAAGTAGGTACCACGTCATACGATGTCTTGGGTGTCATAATTATGCGAGGCGAAGTGTTGCAGGGCATTTAATAGTCGGTTTTGCTGGGCTATAATGATCTGATTTATTTTACTTGTTTTATTTTCATTTTTTTGACAGACTTTTTGTGAAGATTGCACGGATTTCTGCGCTCTGCGTATATAAAGCGTGTTAAGGTAGTCGATCAGAACTGTTATGTAATTGTAGAAGAAAAATTTGTTCTAAATTTCAGATTAACTTCCTCTAAATATATAGATAGTAGTCTGCGAAGACCTTAGCTTGATATTGTCTTTTAATTTATTGTTATACTTCTTCACTTTTGAAGGTTAGATAAAGGCGACGTGAAGTGTTTCTCTAAACAAAAAGCAAATGATTGCAACGATTGCAACTATCGTAATGATAAACCGGAAACTTCTTCGCTACTCGGTACTGTTTTTAATGTTAAAATAAAGAAAAACATTTCTTAGGCAACAATAACGTTAGTCAATATATTTATACAGTTATTTATTTGTTTTTTGATAACTGTATAAATATTGAAATTTTTTATAAATATTGATATTCGGCAAATTATTCCATTGATAAAGAATAATAAACTATACTGACTACTATGACAATAGCAGTACGCATTCACATTTGTTTACATTAAAATGATTTGCATCAATTATGCATAAGCTGAAAACGGATTTGTAAGGCAACACATGAAAACACAATAGTGGAATGCGGCACCACCCTTAAATAGCTTTATAAAAGCCGGGAGTTTATTCATGCAACGTTTTTTAATACAAGGCGTTGTATGGAAAATGGTCGATAAAGTGGTCCGATTTGAACCATTTTCAATGCTGTTTGTCCTTGGGCCAAGACAGATCGGTGTACAAATTTTATCGAAACTTCTACTAAATAGGGCATAAGAACGCAAGAGGGACAGATAAATGGTCGGCGCATTAAGAAGTAGGCCTATCTAAAGTTCTTCTAGGTGTTGCATACATCCGCAAATAAATTTTACATGCTCTGGTACCACAAGTGCTAGAGAGTGTAAAAAGTCCATACCTGAGTTTTAACACTTATTGCGCTTGGGGATCTGGCGTAGAATAAAAGTGTTGAAGGTTCTCGATACGTTCTATTCTACACAATCTCGAATAATCTGTTATTTTAATCCAATTCTATCAATTGGTCACCAATCACTTAGAAGATGTTCTCTGTTCGCGTGGTAAGGCGGTAGTTAGAAAGAACTGAGCAAAAAGATAGAAATAGGATGGTAGTGGTTGAAGCATTGGGGGTGTGTGGCCAATCGGTAAACGTTATGTCTTTACCGACTGTGCTTTCATTACAGCTAACAGCTTAAGTAAGCTTTGCCGCATTGATATTTGAACCCGCGCACACTGGCTTAGTAGTCGCGGCTCTTACTTACACGGTTACTGGTGCGATCCCTGATCCAAAGAATCTGACGAGACATAGACTTGCAAAAAACGCATCTTCAGCTAAGTGCAGCGCTGCATATAAGGAAGAGATATTAAACAACCAATAGCGAAATTTATTATG